CCTCCCTCCTGCCTAACACAGCCTCCCTGAACTCAGGTTACTCCACACCAGCAACTCTGCTTTGAGTTCAGCCAGTCTTTGACCAGGCAAAGGCCAGCACTGTGAGCTGGGAAGCACCCACCCATCCCCAACAGTCCAGTCCTAAACCTTTGGAGCTCTTCCTAACTCAGGGATTAGCCAGTGAGGCAGGGAAGGGGATGCTGTCCTAGAGCTGCCTCTTCATAACAGACTCCACTGGATTCAGCTTTGGAAGAGGAGATTCTCAAAGCAGTGACAAAGGGCAAATTTTAAAGTAGCTTAAAATAAGACCTCCTAAGGCTCAGGAGCTTAAAGAACTTGAATAGCCCAGTTTCTTTTTTCCTTTTCTTTCCCTCCAATTATTTTTTTTTAAGAGGCTGATTGCCAGGCAGGTTTACCCAAGAATTCACAAACTCAAGTAATCATGAGCACTGTAGCCCTCTGAAATAATATTTTCCTTACATGGGCTACTATAAAAACAAGTTCTGCACAGTAGGCAAATTTAAAATAACTTTTAATTAACATTTCAGACACAGAAGTCTGATCATGCAAATTCATCTGCGTCTCCTCTCTGTGCCTGATTGTTCCTGATTGAATATGATAAAAATAGACTTTGTATGAGTCAAGTGTAGGCATGGATTTCTTTCACTTCTCCTCCCCTCTGATTATGCATCTTCTTAGATAAAGTGGAAATCCTTGAATGGCTATTAACAGTATCATGGGTCAGACTGGAAAGGGCATCCTGCCTGAGAGGAGTTAAAGATTTCACTGGAATTAAAGGTGCTCCTCCTGTGAGCAACAAAGATGCTTCAATCTTACATAAACCTCACCTGAGACTATCCAGCATTGTTCTGTCTCAGCTGACTTTTAATCTCTGAAATACCAACTCTGATTTCACTGCACCCCCTGTATCTGAGGTGAGCATCTGATCAGAGGCTACGGATCCATATTAATATGGAAAACCCACAACTCATTTGCACACAGGAGATAAATATTTGAAGGGAGACTGAGGAATTTCTCCATAATTAAGACATGTCAGAGGACATGACCCTGTTATAAGTAACAAGGACTATGGATAATGGAGGGCACAGTGATACCTTCATCTTACAACAGTAAGAGAGCCAATAAAAATGCCTACAAAGCCTTTGTAACACAGTCCAGTTAAAATGTCAATATTTTACAGCAGCTGGTGACTTGGCAGGTACAAAAGCCATCAAAAAATCCACAGAAATGAATGAGTCACAGAAAACTTGAGCATGGGGGGTTAAAACACCTTTTTCTATGGCATCTGACCCAGAGCCTGTGGGCATGGGCTGGTTGGGCACTTTGAGGAGTCAGTGCTACCTCTCCTCTTTGGCAGAGGCAAGAGTTGCCTCCCTTCATTTATCTTTGCAAGCAACAATGTCACACGAAGAACACAACACTGTGGACAGGCTGAAGTCCCTTAGATAGCCAGAAGAGCACTCCCTGGGACACAATCCTGCATTAAACCATTAAAAATGCCCCAAACAGCTGCCTGTGATGTTTACACCGTTTCAGGGCATGCTTCACTCTTGTGGTGTCTCTCTCAGGAGACACTTCCCCACTGCTGGCTGCTCTCTGATGCTTCTCAGCACAGGCACAGGTAGCATTGCAGATCAAGAAAATATTCACTATCACAAAAAAGAGCTGGACAGGACCAGAGGAGGCACCTGGTCCTTGCTGTGCTCAGTGCCTTGCAGCTTGGTGCAGGTAATTCTCATGACTGTCAGGACTGGCCACGCTGATGGAGACTGCCCTTAGAGGTAACAGCAGACTTGAGTTCCAAATTGTTTCATCCAGAGACTCTGATTTCCTTCCTCCCACATAATTTCAGAACCCCTTGTTTGAGAAGGTGGGGCTCCTTCTTCCCCTGCCTTTCAGGTGGTGGACCAAAGGATGTGAAACCCACTGACATCAGTTTTCATGGAAGCACCCAGGAATTCTGGAGTTTTACTTCACAAAATCTTCATTTTGTACCTTTAAGGATCATCTCTGAAATTTTATTGCTCTTTTACCACTTCTCATCCAGCACTACACTTTGATGCCAGCCCATCTGGTATTTTGGATGTCCATTCACCAACACACCTCTGCTGGATGTGCCATTTTGGCCATTCTGGCACTGCTGTGCCTGTGTCTGAACTTGCTCATGGTCCGTGCACGCAGCCTCTTCCCCCTGCCCTGTGCTTGGCTGCAGACGTGCCCTGACTCTCTTGACCATCACAGTGGATGCTTTCCTCTCTCCCACCCTGTTGTTAAATTTTACACAGCAGCATTAATTCCTGCTGCTGAATACATGAGCTGTGACACCAGCGTGGTGCAGTGTCCTCCTGAGCTACATTCCCATCCAGAAAAGATTAAGTCTGAAACCACCCTGGCTGAATGACAGGTAATTTGAGAGCGCTATAGGGTGTGCCTCTGTATCTATCTGGGATGAATACAGCTCCTGAGTTCCTCTCATCTGGCTGCTTGCCAAGAGCAAGCCACGCTTTCAGCTATTCAGTCTATTTTTGTTTTTACAGCAGCATCTCACTACAACTATTTAAAATAAAAATATACAATATCACTCCAAACAGTCCGCAGACTTAAAAGAGACCATGGGCTTTCTCACTCTCTGAGGAGCTATAGATTTCCTGGAAAGTGATTTTTGCTATTTTTTTTAGAGGTGTTAAAATGCAGATCAGACTATTTGAGGACAGCGAGGAGATTCAGCTCAGGCTTAAAGAAACTCATCAGCCTGATGCTGTTCCCTCTGCCAGTAAGAGAAAAAACATATTATACTTTCATACTCACAAGAAATTCAACCTGGCTATACCCGGGAGTATATAAAAGATATTTGTTTCCATAGAATCAGAAAGTATTATTGTAAAACACCCTTGCTTTTCAACTCTTTATAGAGAAGTCCCATGTGCCACAATGTAAAGCCCTTTGGCCCTTGCAAAACTCTTTCTTCAGTGATTGAAATTAGAGAAATAATGGTACACATCAACTCTGCTTAGAGGAAGAGTAGCATTTTCTAATCCATTTAACACAATTCTGTGGGTAATTCTCTTGATGGCTTTTATTCCTTCCAGGTTTAATACACACCAAGACATTAAATACTCAGAATTCACCTGAAAGAAAATTTCCATTATCCCATCTTCCATCAGCTTTGAGAAGTGCTTTGGAAAGCCATTACAATACACCACATCTGGAGGGGATGCTGCCCTGCAGAAGGCACCACTGTGCTCGTGCAAAGAACCCTGACCCAGCTCACCCTGCTCCCCAAAACCTCACCTTGCACCTGGAGACAAGGACCCCACCACCTGGTCATGAGAACAGCCTGTGCTGAAGTGACATGGCCACTAGATGTCATTCCTTTTTCACTCAGATGGAGGGCAGAGAAGCATTTACCTGGCAGAATGAAGTCCCCACACACGCCAGGGAGCTGCGGCAGTGCTGTGGTGCAAGGTCCTGCAGCCCCACAGACACAAACCTCCCTCCAGAGAGAATAATTCTGTCCTGGCAGGACAAAGGACCACACAGCCCAAGACCTGTGCTGTGATTTTATGGCTCTTCACAACTGTACCATACTGAGGGAGATCCTTAACCACAGCTTTACAGCAGAGGAGTATCCACGATGGACACAGAGCACACGTGTGCTGTTACATCCACTGCAGCTGGGGATTGATGCCCAGACCTGACAACATGTTGGGTGTCCATTCTGCTGAGACTCAGGAGGAATTTGGCGCCTTTTTTCTTCTTAGAACTTACGTCCAAGTCACTGTGTGAGAAAATGCTGTTTGGGAGCTGAGCACATCACAGCCCCAAGCCCAGCTCCCCGTGGAGATGGGAAGGAAGGACCCAGACTCCAAAACTGACATGAATCCAGTCTGGGTCCACAGGGGCATAAACTGGGCTCTGCATGACATCCTTGAGTTCTGTGACATATCTGCAGTTTGTAAGAGTATAACTAAGGGGAAACTTTGGTCCTACACTAATAAATATTTAGAGACCCTTTAGGACGGAATGAAAATTCAGAATTATATAAATAATAAAAACATTCCTCCAAGGATGTTCAGTGACTTGAGCACAAAGAAGTCAGACCACCTGTATTTGAAAAGATTTGATGTCTATTTAAGATACATCACTTACTGCTCCTTGTTGACCCTCCTATGAATACAGACAGGGGGTACACAAGGATTTCTCATTTATTAGCATATAGACTTCTGCACTGCTCTGTGATTTCTAAATTTACCATGCACATTTCAGATATTCTGCATCTACGGATTATGAAGGCTAGAATGAACCAGACCACATCATTTCACCTTCGAAATCTTCATTTTTACCTTAACCAGCTCTAAAAATTTGTCATTTGCAATGTCTGGTTTTTTTCTTCTTGCCCTCCAGGAATATCTTGGAACATATAAGAACAGAACAGAAGAAGACTGTGCTAATAAAGCATAAGAAAAATGATTAAAACCAGATGTACTGAAGAATGTCTACACATTTACTGCCAGCACACACAAATACATCTGTTAGAGCTATCAGTGAAATACAAATTTTACCAGCTACCTGTTACCATTTAGAGAACTTACAGCCCTCTTGAAATTATATCCAAGCCATAAACCCCAAATATCTCTCACTGCTCAGGATTTCACTCAGAAGTATTAATAACTCTGATATGTCTACAGCCAATTGCTGTGAAACAACTTCATCCTCTTTGGTGCAATCAGACATGGGCAGTTTGCCACGTTATTTCAGCTCCTTCAGCGCCTTGGCCAAATCCGTCACCAAACAGTTTTGCTGGTTCATGAATCAGTCTTTTCCCTTTTCCTTTTTCTCCCCTGAAAGTCTTTATTCCACAGTTATCCATCAGAGCTCCTCCTCTCTGCCCAAGCAGCTCGGAGAGGCAGCAGATATCAACATCCATGAATTAAAACCGGTGTGAGCATGCATCACCCTGCTGCTGTGGGGATACTCACAGTGCTGGTCGTGAATTCAGGGGGGTTGTCATTCACATCTGTCACTGTGATGATCGCTGTGGCCGTGTTTGAGAGACCATAGTTCAGATTTCCTTCCATATCTGTTGCTTGAACAATGACTATGTACTGCTGAACTTTCTGGAAAAAAAAAAAAAAAGAAGAAAAGATGAGAGATAAAAATGCACCCTATAAAACACCTTGGTTTATTTTCCACATACAAGTGTGATTTTTAAGCAGACTAAGAAGTCAATTGGATCAAAAATGTCAGTAAAAAAAAAATTCAATTAATTTTTCTGCATTGTTTTTGAAGTGATTTTTGCATAGATTCGTGGACATCACCTGTCTCATGGGAAAATAAAAGTCTTATGGGCAAAATTCTCTGGTTGAAGCTGACATTTTTATTAACTTTTAAGCATTTTCTGCAACATTAGCTTTTGTCTTCAGAAAACCAGTAAAAGTTTTGTTCATGTGTTTTCACTGAAAACATTGCTAAGAACATTATACCCCCAAAATTGACATCAACATTGCCTGGCAGCCCTCCAGCTCAGTCTGCTCACACTGTCTGATGCCCAAAAAGCATTAAAATGCTCTTCGTGTTTCAATCCTTAACACAATCTTGGTAAATAAGGAGAATTTAAGTCCAGTATGGAAGAAAAAAATAATTCAATGCAATAAACAGCAGTTCAGCAGAACTAATTTAAATTCCTGAGCACCCCCTACAACACAGCTCTCAAAGGGAAAAAACCTCACAGATCCAGCCATAAAAATCACACAGTGAAGTTCTAAAGGATGCTGTAAGTCAATGCAACTGGAAAATAAACCTGAATAAAACAGGAGAGGCCATCTGATGTTGCATGTGTACATATCTTCCTGGGATCTCTTAGGAGTATCTGCCTGCATCAAGAGAAGTCTCCTGATCTTTACAACTGGCCCCAACAATAAATTTTCATTTAGACCTGCAGAATTTACTATTGATTACTGTCGTGCTCACAGAGCAATTTACAGGCAGATAGGAAAGAAAAGCTCCTCTTCTGAGAAGTGGACAAAGGGAGGCACAAGAAGCAGGGAAGGATCCAGCCAAAAGCTCAACACAACCCTGCTCCTTAAGGCTGCAGGAGGCACATCAGAGAGCCCCAGAGGTGTGTAAACCAAGTGGAGGCAGAATTTTATGCAGGAAAAGCTTTTTTGTGAAGTCAATTGGAGGGACTTTGGTGCAAAGAAAGACCAACTACCCCAAAACACAGCTCTGGTACCCAGGGCTGCTCCTTCAAGGTGCCAATGCTAAAAGTGTGTGTAAAATGTCAAACGTCCTCTGAAGTTACAAAGGGCAGGAACTGGGTCAGTTAGGTCCCTTTATTCCCACATAAACATCCTTGAAGTGCTGTATCTGGTTAAGTTCTTTAATTCTTCTGAGTTGCCAGAATAAGAGATCTGCATTTTAGCTTTATCTTGATTCCAGGGCTTTTAATTGACCTGCTAAATTGACAAGACACCACACTTAGGGATCCATCAGCACCTTGCAACTGGAATATATTATGGAAATGCACTTTCATTATCTCTTTCTATCTTGTATAATAAAACATGAGGGAGAAACTATTGTTAGCCCTTGTTTTGCCTCATGCAAGAAGGTTCTGTTCATTACTCCATTTGTAAAGCACTGCACAAGGCTGAAATGTCCTTATTAGTGAATGCAATTTCTATTTCATATCTAGATTTTACTTCCTTATTCTCTGTTATAGACTACCTGGGAAGCTGATGGAAGTGTTTCCTAGCAGGCCAAATACTCTGGTTTAAATAACAGAAGGTTTAAATCATAGAAGGGGAGGATACTTAAAAAAGTAGCAGCAATCAGGTTTCACATAAATGAGAAAAACACATCTGTGTGTGTGTACTCACAGACCCCAGGTTTACAACGGAATTGTTTTCTTTAACAAAGCACTGTTCACTGAGCTCTGTAGTGTTAATAAAAAAACCCCAGACAAATTCAGAGCACGAAATTAAAGAAGTTTAAAAGAAAGATGTTGATCAGATCATACAACACAAAAAAAAAAAAAAAAAGAAAAGGAAAATGGCCACAATTTATAAGAATGTGCAAATGTACCACAAGGAGCTGGTGTAGAGGGATGGAAAGAAGGGAGGGATGGCAAAGGAACACAGCACTTGTGCAGCAAGTGCAGGCAGTGAGAAAATGTGGGAATTGCAGCAGATCCCAAAGGGATGGAGGGATCAGGCAGGACGGACCATGATGGGAATGCACATGTTGGGGAGGTGTTGGATCTCAGGATAGCCACTGGGTACACATCAGCAGTGAGCTGCTGGGGGAACCCCAGAGACATCCCCAAAGCTGCCCTGATTTCCACCAGCTGAACACAAAACTATTGTGTTTAGAGCAAAAGAGGATTTGGACATGGAGAATGGTGTGGGAAGTTGTATAGAACTGAGACATATGAAATCACAGAAATATCTAGGTTGGGAAAGACCTTTAAGATCAAGGCCAGCCATAAAGCCAACACTGCCAAGTCCACCAAATGGAAACAGTCTGAGATCTGATCTGCCAAACCTTCAGGCTGCCACCCACATCCAGCTCCATCCCAAAGGCTCCAGCACTGTGGGCATATAAGGGTGCTCCTTTCAAGTGCCTAGTTTTACTTTATAACTAATTCAATCTCCAGTGAGATTGGCCCCAGCAGATAACAAATTACTGATTTTTTGTTTTTCTCTAGCTAATCTTTTTGCTTTTGTGCATTAAGCTGATTTTATTGAACTATTCAATCAATTTCAATTTCAGCATGTCCTTCCAATTTGTCACATCATCTCCAGGGGCATCTCAGTTTGTTGTCCTAATAGTATTATTATTGTTACGACTATTAAAAAAAAAAAAGGCAGCCTCATGCCCCCAAGCATGAGAGACATTTTCTTGATGGCATTTTGATCATACAGAATAATTTTCCTATTCTCTTTCTTTGCAAAAATGACATTTTAAGTAGCACAGGGCAGGAACTACAGCATGGAGGTAAACCAAAATGTTCCTAACATTTACTGTAAGTTTGCTCTGATGGTGATGCTGTGGGACTCAGGAAATGAGCTGTGGCCCAAGGGGGTCTAGACTAAAAACCCAGCCCCACTGAAGCCTGTGGGAGGTCCTGTGGCAAGTGTTTCTAACAAATCTTAACAGATCTTCATGCTACAGCAAAGCAAATGTGCTGTTTCTACTCCAGACAAGGAAAAAACTCATCTTGATAAGAGCAGAGCTTTTAGTCTGACCTAAAAACTAAGAAGGAGTTTTGAAGGAAAAAATTATGAAGGAAGGAATAATTAAAGGAACTGTGGCAGATATAATCTGTCTGCTCTTCTGTCAGTCATCTGACACAGTGCCCCAAAGAAATATATCAGCTAAATTCCAGAAGATGGGAATTAGATGAAGGAATTTGTTAAGCTGGCTAATGGGTAAATTAGTCAAGGGCTTGGTTGAAAAGGTGCTTTGTACAGGAGGAATGGCAGCTTGGAGGAAGGGCAACTGACTAACAGAAAGATGTGACCTAATAGCACAAAACTCAGGAAAATGCAGCAAGGCACCAATAAAATAAAACCTTCCTGGAAGTTGTTCTGTTGGACACGAGGAAGAAGGGCTGTCCCCGTGTCCCACCAGCTCCCTGCTGCCGAGCAAGGGGGCAAACACCCTGTGTGCAGCTCTGAGCAGGGCACAGCTGGCAATCCTGAGCCCTGTGCCAAGCAGCCAGGGCTCATCAGGATGCTGAGCACAAGCCAGGCCCTCCTGCTCACTGCTGAGCCCCTGGATCCATCCAGGTGCTGGCACTGAAGAGCCCATCACAGGAGAAGAGCCTGCAAGAGCCTGGCTTGTTTAGTCTAGCAAAATGAAGGCTGATAGCAGATATGATTGCTGTCTATAAATAACATCAGGAGGATAAACACTAGGAAGGCAAGGAAGCAATTTAAACTAAAGGACAATGTTGACACAAGAACAAATGGGTATGAACTGGCCATGAATAAATTTAGGTTGGAAATTAGTAGGTCCTTTACCAATAACAGAGTGAGATGCTGGAGCAATCTAATACAGGGTCTGGGGAGCAAAAACGTTCAAAAGAATATATTAAATTAGGGCTAAATCCTCTTGGTCTAGGTAGAAATTATGATAAATTGAGCTAAAGCAGAAGGCAGATCTCTTAGCATTCTCTGTGTACAAACAACTTTTTAAAAAGAAAAAGAAAAAAAACCCCTTCAGTCCAAATAGCACAGACTGTTCATGTGAAAAGGCTTAACACTGATCGTTATCACTGAACCAGCCCATTCCACTGGCACACACAAAGGACCAGGTGCCCCAAACAAAATTACAGGTTTTGCAAGTGGCTCTCCCCATCCAGACAGAGCCTGGCATGGAAAGCATGGGCTGAAATCCCTGGCTGAGCTGAGCAGAGTCTTGCTGAGAGAGGGTAGAAACAAGAGTAAATCGTATTCAGAGACAGAGTAGAAAAGAACAAAGTATTTTAAAATGAAGCCCTAGTGATGGAGTGCTACCTGTGATCCCAATTTTCAAATCTGCACGCACAGTATTTGAGAAATGTGGCTACTGCCAGTTTACACAGGCAATTATTATACATCACACATAAGCTGGGGAACTGTGTATACCAAAGTCCAGAAATGCAGTAATTATGTGATTAAATTAATCTGCATTATGGACAAAGGGTTTGCAAAATTAGGAACTACATTTTCAAAGCTCTGTACAAATATTGTCCAATTAATTACTACTTCCTGAGGAATGTATGACTAGCTAATTTTAGCATCACGTCTGGTAAAGCAAATAAGGTTACCAGGATGTAGGATGTATTAGCATGAATCTACTGGTGAAGGAGATAGGAAATCTAAATTCTCTTTCTTCCTGTGGTTATCCTCACATCTCCTTTATATCTATGTTTTTTTCCATTTCCCCTTAATTTTGCAACACCAATGAGATGAATATGAAATGTTCTTGTAATTTGTTTTCTAAATAATTTTTTTGCATCCTAGTGAAGACTTGATGTTCATGTTTTTGGGTATCAGAGATGGCAAACACACCATTAATAAATACTGCACCAGAACCAGGAAAGGCAATTTAAAAATAAATAAACAAACTCTTCCCA